TATGGGGAGGCCCAGGCTATTATGTTTATAAATAGATATTCGGCGGAATAACAGACTGAGTGCCGCCCAGTAACTAAACGTCGACGCGTGCACTTCACACTTGCAGCGTGGACTTGGAGTCCGACTCTTAGTCTTACTCAGCGCGCGTCTTGGTATTACCTGAGGACCCCAGGCCCAGTAAGTCTTGGTACTGGTAGGTTTATTGTTAATGTTTATAACCTACCAAGACGCGCGCCCAGTTGGACTCTTCGACGGTCTTGAAACAAATATTGTACGAGTATCGCCCGTTAACTTTTGATTTGTGACGCTTGTTAGAAATGCAGACACATCTGACATCGCACTGTTATGTTGTCAGTTATGTTAAATTGTATTTGTAAAGTTTGTAAACAAGACAACATACTTCACTTATTTGTTTGTTAGAGCTTTCGCTGACGTGGAAAAACAAGCCAATATCGAGTTTTGTAGCCACAATCGCCCCGGAATAAAGCAGTAAAGGAACGTGAGGTGTGACCTGAACCAAAGATAACATTATATGTTTATCGAGAGATTTAAAGCCAAGATAATTGGTTAAAATAGGAGCAAGGTCAGTGGCAATTCTTTCACTGGGTGTACGGCTATATTTTCCGCTTCCTAGTTCTCACTTTTGTACACCGAGTTTACACTTTGTGTTTTTTTTCTGCCCCATGAGTTTGTAACTTTACTATGGATTTTCAGATTAATAGATGTGGATACTGGTGGGGAGGTGAAACACATTTGTTTACTTTAATAGTAAGCACATGTTCAGCGGGTTGAGGAGGTGAAACACATTTGTTTACATTTTTAGGGTAAGCACATGTTCAGCGGGTTGAAGAGATGATACACATTTTGTATTATAGAAGGCTTGTAACACTTGTAACGCTTTCTTGTTACCCCCCTTTGAAGACCCGAATTATTTTCTGAACGAAAGCTCAAAAATAACCGAGAAATCGACCTTCTTATTAACTCATTTTGATGACTGTTTCTGACCTAAAATTGCACGAAAAATCGATTTAGTTAGGTTTCAGAACCTATAAACACTTCCTTATCCCTTAAAATTGATGTTTTATAGTTGATACGAGCAACAAGCAACATATGTTTTGATCCTTCGGTTCTACTCATGACCTAAGGAGTTAAGCTGAAACCGAAAGAGCGAGGCAATCCTCACCTTAACTGATCAAACTGGTACTAACACAATTTTCAGATAGAAATGTTCTTTGCGATACGTTTATTGCAGCTTTGCAACTTGAGTGAAGACCAGAGTACGAAAACACACAGCAGGCAAGCAACTCACTTTTGGTGACTGTTCCTCACGAACATTCTGATCCTGCAACATAACAACAAGGAGATCGTCTCCTTAACAAATTGAACAGGTAATATCACAATTTCCAGAGCAGAGCATGATAACAAAGTCAAAAGAAACATATTGAAGGTAGGTTACGAACACCACAATAATATAACAATCATACTAACAGCAGAATTAAATTTATTCTGACGACTGGCAGCCCTGATGTGCTCCGTGATCCTTAACGAGCGACCAATTGTAATAGAGGTGTTATGTCACGTGACACCGATACGTCCAATCACAAACAGGAAGAGTAAGCGGATGGATATCGTATGTTTACTTTCCTTATCTGTATTTGACCCTCTGTTCAAATTGTTATCTCTACCAAAGCTTGGCTCGGCAAGGTCAGCGTGCAATATCGGCACCGTGCAATATCGGCACCGCGGTACACACGCCATGATTACGTCATGAACTAAAAATAGTGTGATCGTTACAATATATAACCGTGCCCACTGCCCACGTACAATACAAACTGTTGGCCGTTGGGGGGGGGGGGGGGGGGGGCGGGTTGCTTACGATAGGCTGTGGTCGCTCCTCCAACTGACTGTGGTTTTTACCGTCCAATCATGAACAAAATATTAACATTGCTTAGTTATAGGGGGGGGGGGGGTGTCACGTCCGTCTATGTCCGCTTGTCTCATAGAATCCAAAAAGGACAGGACATAGACGGACATAGGCGGACATAGACGGACATAGGCGGACATAGGCGGACTCGGACGGACATTTGCGGACCCGGACGGACATTGCCGGACTCGGACGGACATTGGTGGACATTAGCGGACATATAAGAGGTCTAAAGAATCAAGATCTCACCAATATTCCCAATATTTAATTAAATCCAGTCACCAAATCCGGTCGCTAAATCCAGATCTATTTGTGTCGTCAACATATCTTTGAAACAGTTACACAGGGTACACAGTAGGCACAGTACCTATTTAACGAAATATAGGGAATATAACTTATTAATCACACTAAAGCTATTAATAGCTTTAACTTATTTTATCAAATTATATAGGGACCCAGGAAAAGGCCCCAGGAGGAGGAGGATGACTGGGGAGGAGGAGGACTGTTGAGGACTGATGAGGAGGACTGAGGACGAGGAGGAGGAGTAGAAGGAGAACTGAGGAGGGGAGGAGGAAGAGGACTGAAGAGGACTCAGGAAGACCCAGGAGGAGGACCCAGGAGGAGGACCCAGGAGGAGGAGGAGGAGGACTGAGGAGGATGACTCAGGAGGAGGAGGACTCAGGAGGAGGACTGAGGAGGACTGAGGAGGACTGAGAAGGTGGAGGACTGTTGAGTACTGAAGAGTACTGAGGAGGATGGCTGAGGAGGATGGCTGAGGAGGATGACTGAGGAGGATGACTGAGGAGGATGACTGAGAGGGAGGAGGAGGATCCGGAAGACCCTGGAGGAAAAGGAGGAGGAGGACCCAGAAGGAGGACCTAGGAGGAGGAGGAGGAGGAGAACTGAGGAGGATGACTCAGGAGGAGGAGGACTCAGGAGGAGGACTGAGAAGGAGGAGGACTGAGGAGGATGGCTGAGGAGGATGACTGAGAGGGAGGAGGAGGAAGAGGAGGAAGAGATCTGAGGAGGAGGAGGAGACGGACTGAGGAGGAGAAGGAGGACCCAGGAGGAGGACCCACGAGGAGGACCCAGGAAAAGGCCCCAGGAGGAGGAGGAGGACTGGGGAGGAGGAGGACTGTTGAGGACTGATGAGGAGTACTGAGGACGAGGAGGAGGAGTAGGAGGAGGACTGAGGAGGGGAGGAGGAAGAGGACTGAGGAAGATCAGGAAGACCCAGGAGGAGGAGGAGGGAGGAAGAGTAGGAGGAGGAAGCATCTAAATGTTATTTCCATTTTTGTCCGTTTTTGTCCATTTTTGTCTGTTTTTGTCCGCTCTATTTTTTGTCCGTTTTGAAAATATAGGGTACCGAACGGACAAAAAACATGATATAATTAGCAAAAATTGAACATTTTATTTAGCAATTTAGGTGTCCATTAAATTTAATGTCCGCTAAAGTCCGTATATGTCCGTCAATGTCTGCCAATGTCCGTCTATGTCCGCCTATGTCCGCCTATGTCCGTCTATGTCCGCCTATGTCCGCCTATGTCCGCCTATGTCCGTCTATGTCCTGTCCTTTTTGGATTCTATGAGACAAGCGGACATAGACGGACGCTTGGAGGAGCGACCACAGCCTATCGTAAGCAACCCGCCCCCCCCCCCCCCAACGGCCAACAGTTTGTATTGTACGTGGGCAGTGGGCACGGTTATATATTGTAACGATCAAACTATTTTTAGTTCATGACGTAATCATGGCGTGTGTACCGCGGTGCCGATATTGCACGCTGACCTTGCCGAGCCAAGCTTTGGTAGAGATAACAATTTGAACAGAGGGTCAAATACAGATAAGGAAAGTAAACATACGATATCCATCCGCTTACTCTTCCTGTTTGTGATTGGACGTATCGGTGTCACGTGACATAACACCTCTATTACAATTGGTCGCTCGTTAAGGATCACGGAGCACATCAGGGCTGCCAGTCGTCAGAATAAATTTAATTCTGCTGTTAGTATGATTGTTATATTATTGTGGTGTTCGTAACCTACCTTCATTATGTTTCTTTTGACTTTGTTATCATGCTCTGCTCTGGAAATTGTGATATTACCTGTTCAATTTGTTAAGGAGACGATCTCCTTGTTGTTATGTTGCAGGATCAGAATGTTTGTGAGGAACAGTCACCAAAAGTGAGTTGCTTGCCTGCTGTGTGTTTTCGTACTCTGGTCTTCACTCAAGTTGCAAAGCTGCAATAAACGTATCGCAAAGAACATTTCTATCTGAAAATTGTGTTAGTACCAGTTTGATCAGTTAAGGTGAGGATTGCCTCGCTCTTTCGGTTTCAGCTTAACTCCTTAGGTCATGAGTAGAACCGAAGGATCAAAACATATGTTGCTTGTTGCTCGTATCAACTATAAAACATCAATTTTAAGGGATAAGGAAGTGTTTATAGGTTCTGAAACCTAGCTAAATCGATTTTTCGTGCAATTTTAGGTCAGAAATAGTCATCAAAATGAGTTAATAAAAAGGTCGATTTCTCGGTTATTTTTGAGCTTTCGTTCAGAAAATAATTCGGGGCCTTCAAAGGGGGGTAACAAGAAAGCGTTACAAGTGTTACAAGCCTTCTATAATACAAAATGTGTATCATCTCTTCAACCCGCTGAACATGTGCTTACCCTAAAAATGTAAACAAATGTGTTTCACCTCCTCAACCCGCTGAACATGTGCTTACTATTAAAGTAAACAAATGTGTTTCACCTCCCCACCAGTATCCACATCTATTAACCGTATGTTTACTAATATGACATATTCTTCTGATATCAGTTTATTAAATTTTTGACTTCTGCTAGGTGACACTCCTGTGGATGGCCCTCAAAGGCCGAAACTAGTTGAGTCTTCAGCAGATCACCCTGGAATACGTCGTATCATTTGTTTGATGACACTTAACTCACTTATTTGTTATTACTCTTAAAATATTTGTTCCAAATATTAGACCGCTCGACGAGTCCAACTAAGCGCGCGTCGAGTTAATTGAATGCCTTCTCTATTATATATTATATACCCTACGAAATGAGTCTATAATTTCTGCCAGTTGAAAATTTAAATACACACTTGAATAATAAATAACTGAAACATTCATGATAAAATAACATCTTTCAACTTCAATATCGTTCAACTTCAATATGCAAAATAACAATATCGAAAACTCAAATAAAAATAAAAATCAAGAAATTGAAACGTGTAAAGAACATAATAACATCGCAGTGAAAATTTTGTCAGACTACAGAATATCGGTACAACAACTGTCTTGCTAAGTGTTCACTTCCACAAGCCTCATAAATCTGACACATATTAAAAACTGCCTCCCTGGTCAGGTCAATATCCTTTAATTCAACATGATCTCCAGTTTCTAACATTTTCTCACTACCCTCCTCAGGAGGGTTTATCCCCTCGGGAGGGTTTATCCCCTCGGGAGGGTTTATCCCCTCGGAAGGGTTTATCCCCTCGGGAAGATTTGTTCCCTCCTTAGCAATACCACCATTCTTATTTGCGGGACTGTTTTCACGGCTGATGTCATTTTCAGGAGAATTCTCATTGTTACGAGGTGTAGTCTGACCCGACTTAATATCCCCGGATTTGTCTCTGTTCCTGGCGATGCTCCTGTTCATCTTGTCAATCTGTAGCTGTACTTCTTTGGGGGATGAAGGTGGGGTGGCGATGACTCTTTTGTAGTAGAGTATCGCGAAGTGGAATAAACCCAAGTGGTGGTAACAACGACCTGGAAGCATGTTTTAAATGTTAATTAATTATCGAATTAATTCGCGTGTGTAAAACGTTTACGATAATATTATGTGCATTTAGCAGGAATTTGTTTACAATGGACTACATTTTAGGGAAGTGAGTATCTAACTAAAATGACGTAATAAAGAACATACCAATATTATAGTAAGTTTCCTGACAAGGCCCCCTCAGTTGATGGTACATAAGAACACACGCAATGGCCTGCACCGCCATCTCATGACGACGTGAGACGAACTCAAGTCCCTTGCTGCACGCGTAGTGTAGGTAGAAGAGGGACAGGTGGAAGTAAACGGTGCTGTCTTTGGGTCTCTGTCCTAACATCCTGGTCAGTGGTCAAGTATCAACACATTGTTAACGTTATCGTCATGTTAGCATGGTATATCATTTAAATCATAATGTATTCTCTAAATAATAACTTCTATCTCAAAAGTTTCAACATTTCAAGGGGTCATCCAACTCCACATGTTACGCAATCACTGTTGGAGAGGGGATTTCTAAAATATAAATGCTTACGCTAGCATACGTTTAACACAATAGTTATGAGTAAAACTGAAAAATTTGCCAAAAAGTGATGACGTAATATTATGTGAACGATCCCTAATTATTACTGTCTATAAAGCTATAAGAACTGGTATAAAGATGATAACTTACTGCCGGAAGAATGCGATGGCTGCTTTATAGTGCCGAGAATAATAACTGTTCTGCATGTTGAGGAAGAGACCGTTGAAAGAGCCTCTGTTCTTGTGAAGCCATCTTACACCTGCGAAAATGTATTTTGGTTACTCATGGTTACTAATGGTTACTACTGGTTACTACCGGAAGAGACCGTTGAAAGACCTGTGAAGCCATCTCACACTGTTCTGTGCCCTTATATATTTTATTTTATGATTCCAATACAACCACTTTTAACCTGACTACAACATTTTATTTAACAAGAAATGCGGCCGCTTTTTTTTGTGCATGGCCGCTCAATTTCCCGATCCGTGATGGCGTATTTTATCATATTCTATACAACCTGGGGACCCCAGTTTTTACTGTTTGTAAGTATGCAGATATGGCGAAGTGACAGGCCGAGCGCCACCAAGTTAAGGGGGGGGGGGGGGGGGGGGGGGGTGGGACAATGGATATTTTTTTGTGAAAGTTGATTTCGAGATAGCAGTTGACCAACAAACTAGGACCAGTGACCGAACTTTTGAGGGGGTCCCGGACCCCAACCGCCAAACGGTGCCCGCGGGGCAGCCACGCCCATATTTGGTCCAAATTAGGCCCAATTTAGCCAAATACCCTGAACATGCCCAAAACCCAGATTTTAGGTGCTCTACTTGTAGCTAGTGGTCTCCTAAACTCGTATATGAAATTTCATCAAGATTGGACAAAAAATGACTGAGTTATGGGCCAAAAACCATATGCCCATATTTGGGCATACTCACCAAATTTGGTAGATTTCGTCCCATAAATTGAGCAAATATCAATATTTTTGAATGAAACTTACTTTATAAGAAAGGTAAGCCTTAACTACATATTCTCTGTAAGTTATAGCTTTGTATTTGTTTAAATGTGGATACTAAGGCGAAAAAACCACAAAAAATGAACTAAATTGCCAGTATCTTGGTTCGCGATATTCGCGGAATTGATCTCATTAAAATTGTAACAACTCAATCAGTTTTCAAAATTTTTGCATGAAATTTTCGGAATCGACTCAAAATCGCATTTCCACCTTATTTTGAGAACAGATTTTTGATTTAGGCCTCCAAAAAAATTTGGCTGCCAAATTCCAAAATTTTCCCGGAAAAGTTCAGAATTTGGCCGCCAAATTTTTTTGGAGGCCTAATTCAAAAACCTGTTCTCAAAATAAGGTGGAAATGCGATTTCGAGTCGATTCCGAAAATTTCATGCAAAAATTTTGAAAACTGATTGAGTTGTTACAATTTTAATGAGATCAATTCCGCGAATATCGCGAACCAAGATACGGGCAATTTAGTACATTTTTTGTGGTTTTTTCGCCTTAGTATCCACATTTAAACAGATATAAAGCTAAAACTTACAGAGAATATGTAGTTTAGGCTTACCTTTCTTATAAAGTAAGTTTCATTCAAAAATATTGATATTTGCCCAATATATGGGACGAAATCTACCAAATTTGGTGCGTATGCCCAAATATGGGCATATGGTTTTTGGCCCATAACTCAGTCATTTTTGTCCAATCTTGATGAAATTTCATATACGAGTTCAGGAGACCACTAGCTACAAGAAGAGCACCTAAAATCTGGGTTTTGGGCATGTTCAGGGTATTTGGCTAAATTGGGCCTAATTTGGACCAAATATGGGTGTGGCTGCCCCGCGGGCACCGTTTGGCGGTTGGGGTCCGGGACCCCCTCAAAAGTTTGGTCACTGGTCCTAGTTTGTTGGTCAACTGCTATCTCGAAATCAAGTTTCACAAAAAAATATCCATTGTCCCCCCCCCCCTTAATATAATTCCATATTGAATTTGAAAATTGTGTATATTTTTAAAAACCATATGCTTATTGTTTATGCAACCTGGCAGTGACACCCGACACGGATGTGTGCAAAATAGTATAAGTAACTCAAAATAATAATAGTATGCTATCAATTAGTATAGTGCCTAGTGGGATATGTACATGGTGAAATTAACAATGTACTTGGTCAGTTCAGCGCCGCGCGCCAACAATTATTTAATTCGTATTATTCCGCAAAATAACTTTGCGCAGGTAGTCAGGTGGGCGATTACAGTGTGTGCAGGCAGGTACGGTCGCACGCAGGTACGGTCGCAAAGCTACCATATACAAAAAAAAAACCTCGTTTGCTAACCCTTGTCCTTGACTCTTTTGTGCCTTCGGCACTTTGAGTCATGGATCGGGAAAAAATTAATAATAATTCTTTCTGGTATGACTTGCTACTCATTCGAGGAATATAATATTAAATCAAATAATCACGATGTTAATTTTTTCTGAGTGCAAATTAATGTTTTGCGGTTTTTATAAATACCCAGTCGATGAAGACGGTATTGAGGGAGTCTGTGTCGGATAGAGTAGAAAATATTCCAGATTCCGGGCGTATCTGGGTGGTTGTAAAGAAGGGCTCCGATATTTTCAGAAATGTAATCTCTCTGGTTTAGGACTCCAGCCAGGTATAAACTGAAATATTAAGTTTTACACGTGATCAGACGATTGTTTATCACTAACTACTGGTAACCAAGAGTTACTACTGGTTACTACTGGTAACTACTGGTAACCCAGAATTACTACTGGTTACTGCTGGTAACTACTGGTTAAACGTCGCTTGTTTATCACTACTAATTATGACCATTCGTGTTGTCCAAGCACAAATAAAATACTGTTTAACTATTGAAACAATTCATTCACAGTAACACGAAGCCGGGTCATACCATTGCATGATACCTAAAACAATTTAGTCTCTCCGAATTTCCTCACCTGGTTACTATTAGTTACCACTGGTTACTAACAGGTTACTACTGGTAACTATAGGTTACAAACTGCCTCACCTGTGTATCTGCATATCCTTGACAGTGTGCAGGACGTCAATGAGTCTGGAGGCGAGGGCAGCGAGACACAGGATAAACCCGTGCTGCAGCCTGTTTTCAGCCATGCAGCAAGCTAACATGTCAACATACCAGTCATACCACTCCTCCCTGGTTAGCATGTCCTGTGAGATAGTTACTATTGGTTATACATAATCGGTTAGCATGTCCTGTATCCACATATTATAATGTACCAACCATACCTCCTAAAATGTCCGCAATATGACTAAAATAATAAAAGTGAAGGATCCCTTACCCGGTAAGCCTCACACTGACCAGTGTTGTGACCCAGTTTCTGCCTGGTCACGTGACACAACATGTTGAAAGCTGAGGATGACGTGTGTGAACCTCTGAGGAATTCCCCGGTTACGATCTGCTTTACGAGGGACTTGGACTTCTGCACCTCGATGGACTCGAACAGGGCGGTTTTTATGACGTTGTAACTGTGGAGAATTTCGTTGAGAATACAGTTTTTTTGAGCTGGCATGTTTTTAAAACGTGAGACTCGAAAACAAATAAAAACTCCATATACACTAGAAGACAAGAAACTAATTAAGATTAAATGAACTAGAAGATAAGACACTATACTAGAAAACAAGAGATTAGAAGACAAGAAACTAAAAGATAAGATAAACTTACCCCTCGTCAAGGGCAGATGAGTAGTTGTTGCTCGTTATCAGCTCGTTGGATCTGTGGTAGGATAACTTCACTACATCTGGTCGTACACTCAGCTCCTACCGGTGTGTATACTGGTTACTACTAGTTAATACTGGTTACTACTGGTTAGTGGTTACTACTGGTTACTTTAACCGTAGAACGTAAATTATTGTATTGCGATTAAACTATTAAATTAGGCCTATATACTATTATACTATGACAATACAGCTTTGTATCGCTCTTTACTTAGTCAAAAGGGACTTTCACTATTTCTAACGTATGTTATTTCAGGTGCTTCCACTATACAGCTTGCCTTTTTCGCACTATACTAATGCTTTTCAAACAAAGTTACAACGAATTCTTCATGTAGTGCATCCTGAGTTTGGACAGGATATGCCCGTTTAAAATAAGGGCCCTTATAACAATAATTTAATAAGCGAGTTTGATTCTCATACGAATCACATCAAATAAAGTTAAATAAAAACGAAAAATAACGATATTAGTGATCGTTTCCTTACTTTGACAGTGCTAAAGTCAGCGTGAATGTTAACAGTGAACTCCTCTTGGTGCTCTGCCAAGTGCACTTGTTGCAGCGAGAAAAGTCTTAGTTTAGCTGTTTCGTTAGATTCGTCAAAGGAGAGAACATTCTCGTAACACCTAACTGCCTCCTTCCAATCTCCCTGATAACGGTGGTTACTATTAGTTACTAATGGTTACTATTAGTTACTAGTGGTTACTATTGGTTACTATTGGTAACTGTTGGTTACTAGTGGTACAACTGGTTATTAAATATGAATGGTTACTATTGGCAACTAATGGTAAATAATGGTAACTTATGGTAACTTATAATATGATTAATAATAACGAATAATAATAATTAGCAATGATTTTAAACCTGATCCTCGTAGGAGAGACCCAGCTGTACCCAAGTATGAGGGTGATCAGAGTTACACGACTTCGACAGTAGCTCGTACAGAGGGCGTGCTGGGGGTTAAGTTTTAAGAATTTGTTTCTTTTTTCTCTTCTTTTTAAGTTTTAAGGCTTGAGCAACGAAGATATATTAATGCAAGGTCTTCAAGAGATATAGATGGAGCTAAAAATACTCAATACAGAGTGCTTTCTTCATATTATATTATATACAATAGCCGAAAAGACCCAAACATTCGAAAAATGACTTCTTACCTGCATTGATGTTGTTGGTTTCAAAGTAAGCGTCAGCAACGAGCAGAAGCCCTTCATTGGTGTCTTCTTTCGTCAGCAGGGGACGCAACAAATCTTCTGTGTTTGCTGAGATAATTGTGCTGTGATAAAATGGCTTTTAACAAGCTCCAAACTCAAACCTCGGGGGGAAATACTCTGGGTCAAGAGGTCACTGGTAATAAATCCTGGGGTTTTTTTTTCGATACAACTGCAGCAACCTGTCAAAGAGAACCCAGACAACTAGGTAAACTACCACAGAAGATAAGAATTTTTAAAAAGATAAGAATTTTTAAAAAGATAAGAATGTTTAAAAAGCTCACTATGATCGTGGTCTAGGTGAATGAGAGAAGCGACAAGGACAGCACGGATAACACAGGGACATTCCTCATTAGAGATCTTGTAGTGTTTGGCATCTACAGGTATGTTGGTAGCAGCTGTACTGTCTCCTGTTTGTAGCTTCTCTAAACGATCTTAGAAAGTGGCATATTAGTAATAATTAGTAGTAATAATTAATTGATGTTAAATTATCGCGAATTAGGGGTTTATTCTCAATGTTTATATTTAAGTATTTATCATTATCATTGCAAAAAAATGTTAAATTAACTGAAAATTAGAGCTTTTCAGCAAGACCAATAATAATTGACTTAAATTAGAGAACCAACTATAAAGACTCTAACCTTGCACCTGATCGTGGATATTATTATCAACTAGAATTAAAGAACCAACAATAAAGACTCTAACCTTGCACCTGATCGTGGATATTATTATCAACTAGAATTAAAGAACCAACAATAAAGACTCTAACCTTGCACCTGATCGTGGATATTATTATCAACTACAATTAAAGAACCAACAATAAAGACTCTAACCTTGCACCTGATCGTGGATATTATTATCAACTAGAATTAAAGAACCAACAATAAAGACTCTTAACCTTGCACCTGATCGTGGATATTATTATCAACTAGAATTAAAGAACCAACAATAAAGACTCTAACCTTGCACCTGATCGTGGATATTATTATCAACTAGAATTAAAGAACCAACAATAAAGACTCTAACCTTGCACCTGATCGTGGATATTTTTATCAACTTGAATTAATTAAAGAACCAACAATAAAGACTCTAACCTTGCACCTGATCGTGGATATTATTATCAACTAGAATTAAAGAACCAACAATAAAGACTCTAACCTTGCACCTGATCGTGGATATTATTATCAACTAGAATTAATTAATTAAAGAACCAACAATAAAGACTCTAACCTTGCACCTGATCGTGGATATTATTATCAACTAGAATTAAAGAACCAACAATAAAGACTCTAACCTTGCACCTGATCGTGGATATTATTATCAACTAGAATTAAAGAACCAACAATAAAGACTCTAACCTTGCACCTGATCGTGGATATTATTATCAACTAGAATTAAAGAACCAACAATAAAGACTCTAACCTTGCACCTGATCGTGGATATTATTATCAACTAGAATTAAAGAACCAACAATAAAGACTCTAACCTTGCACCTGATCGTGGATATTATTATCAACTAGAATTAAAGAACCAACAATAAAGACTCTAACCTTGCACCTGATCGTGGATATTATTATCAACTAGAATTAAAGAACCAACAATAAAGACTCTAACCTTGCACCTGATCGTGGATATTATTATCAACTAGAATTAAAGAACCAACAATAAAGACTCTAACCTTGCACCTGATCGTGGATATTATTATCAACTAGAATTAAAGAACCAACAATAAAGACTCTAACCTTGCACCTGATCGTGGATATTATTATCAACTAGAATTAAAGAACCAACAATAAAGACTCTAACCTTGCACCTGATCGTGGATATTATTATCAACTAGAATTAAAGAACCAACAATAAAGACTCTAACCTTGCACCTGATCGTGGATATTATTATCAACTAGAATTAAAGAACCAACAATAAAGACTCTAACCTTGCACCTGATCGTGGATATTATTATCAACTAGAATTAAAGAACCAACAATAAAGACTCTAACCTTGCACTTGATCGTGGATATTATTAATCAACTAGAATTAAAGAACCAAAATAAAGACTCTAACCACTTGCACCTGATCGTGATATTTTATCGCTAGATTTAACAGAACCAACAATAAAGACTCTAACCTTGCACCTGATCGTGGATATTATTATCAACTAGAATCAAAGAACCAGCATAAAGACTCTACCTTGCACCTGATCGTGGGGATATTACTTTATCCAAACCTAGGGAATATTTTGAATATAAGGGAAACCATACCAATAAAGGGACTCTAAAAATTACCCTTGCAAACACGCTGAATCGCTGGTATATTTTCATTATTTCAAAAACTAGAATTTAAGAAACCAACAATCAAATAGGACACTTCTACCTTGCACATGATCGTGGAATATTTATTATCAACTTAGAAATAAAATAATAAACAACCCAACAATAAAGGGACCTATAAACCGTTGCACCCTTGATCGTGGGATTTTTATTATTTTTCAAACCTTAGGAAATTTTTAAAGGAACACAACCAAATAAAAGACTTTCTAAATAACCCTTGAACCTGATCGTGGATCTTATTATAAATAGAAATTAAATGAAACCCAAAACCAAATAAAAGGACTCTAAAACCTTGCACCTGATCGTGGATAGGCTGGGTTGGTGGTTTTTTAAAGCTCAGGGGAAAGGGGGGCGCTCCCACCATTAACACTTTTACTTTGCTTACTAGGGATCAGGCAAATGGCTTAGAAGGGAGGGATTTATTCTGGTAATGCTTTTTTCCCGATAAAGTTTATTCAAACTGTTGCGTGGGGATTTTCGGGTGGTCAGGTTCAGAGCAATGGAAAATACAAGTAAATATTTTTACTGAAGTAAGTTTTAGTAAAGGTGTTTAGTTGGAATTCGGTTCCTAACATCTAATTCAAATTTGAGGAAAAATAACCATAGGGACAGGTTGCTTTTTTCGTTCATATCTAACCATTACCCCACAGCTAAGCACATAACCACCTCTCACCTTTTAGGGAAAAAAATCCCCCATTTTCCTAAATTAAGTAAGACGAAAAAAAATATGCGTTTAAAAGGCTGGTTTTTTTCAGATACACTAAATAAAACAATTTCTAAACAGTTCACCAGATACCTTCCGTTATCGAGATACATGGAGTGAAAAATAACCTAAAGGGGGGGGTACATTAATGGAGTGTCCTACTTACAAAACTTTGGACGACTTTGTCCATGGGGCGGCCCAAAGCTCCGGGGTGGGCTCCCATTTCCAATACAGACCCTCCTGTTACGTTTCTTGGCCCATAAAAATCTTCCTTTTTTCGAATATCTTTCCAGTGGGGCATTCTGTTTTGAGGGTTTATTTTTTTGTATTTTACGGGCGGTGGCCCACAAGGGGACCTGGCCCCACCTACCACAACCCCTTTTATTAATTTAACTTCTTGGGGGTACCGGTTTACAAGATATGGGGGTCCAAAAACTAGGGGTTTCGCTGAAAAGGTTCGTAAAAAAAATTTTGTTCGAAATTTGTTAGTGTGGTGGTGGGCAATTCCCTGGTCCTCTTCTCTTTTTTCACCTATGTTTTTGTTTCGTGTAATAATCGGGAAAACCAATTCAGGGGAAACCTATTCGTCTGCTTTTAACCATTAGCAAGGGTTTTTCCCTTTAGCAAAGGTACTTTGCCAAAAAATTATTTTAGAGGTCTTTCTTTTCCCACAACCAATCGATTTTCTTCATCGGATTTTTTTTTTTAGGATGCCAAAGTAAAAAAAATATTGTTAGGGGACCGCGGGGGGGCACCAAATAAAAAATTCGGTATAACTACGGGGATTTGTTGGTAAAAATTCGGGGTTTT